CAAATTCCATCAGCATTTTTTAATGAGATGGAGAAACAAATCACCAACTTCATACGGGAAGGGAAGAGGCCCCGAATAAGTAAGGCATTACTCAAGAAGAGGAACAAAGTGGGAGGCCTCACACTACCCGATTTTAGAACCTATTATACCGCCACGGTAGTCATAACAGCCTGGTTCTGGTACAACAAGAGATACAGACCAATAGAACAGAGTTCAGAACCCAGATATAAGCTCATCCACCTATGAGCAGAAGCTGATACTTGACAAAGGCCCGAAGTCCATGAATTGGGGAAAAGACATTTAACAAATGGTGCTGGCATAACTAGATATTTACCTGCAAAAAACTGAAACAAGACCCATACCTCACACCATGCACAAAAACTAACTCAAAATGGATCAAAGGCTTAAATATAAAATCAAAAACAATAAAGATCATGGAAGAAAAAATAGGGACAACACTAGGAGCCCTAATACATGGCATAAAGACAATACAAACCGTAAGTAACAATGCACAAGCATTACAAGAGAAACTAGATAACTGGGAGCTTCTAAAAATCACACTTATACTCATCAAAAGACTTCACCAAAAGAGTAAAAAGACAACCTAAACACTGGGAAAAAATTCTTGGCTACGACAAATCCGATGAGCATCTAATCTCTAAAATCTGCAAGATACTGCAAAATCTCAACAACGAAAAGACAAATAACCCAATTAAAAAATGGTCAAAGGATATGAACAGGCACTTTGCCAAAGAAGACATTCAGGCAGCTAAGAGACACATGAAGAATTGCTCACGATCATCAGCCATTAGAGAAATGCAGATCAAATCTACAATGAGATATCATCTCACCCCAACAAGGTTAGCATTAATCCAAAAAAACACAAAATAATAAATGCTGGAGAGGTTGTGGAGAGACTGGAACACTTACACACTGTTGATGGGAATATAAAATGGTATAACCACTTTGGAAATCGATCTGGTGCTTTCTTAAAAAGCTAGAAATAGAAGGACCATATGATCCAACTATCTCACTCCTTGGAATATATTCTAGAGAAATAAGAGCCATCACACAAATAGATACATGCACACCCAAGTTCATTGCAGCACTGTTCACAGCAGCAAAAAGATGGAAACAATCTAGGTGCCCATCAGTGGACGAACAGATAAACAAATTATGGTATATCCACACAAAAGAATCCTACACAATGATAAAGGACAACGATAAAGCCATGAAACATCATATAACATGGAGGAATCTGGAGGGCATTATGCTGAGTGAATTTAGTCAGTCACAGAAAGACAAACATTGTATAAGACCACTATTATAAGAACTCAAGAAAAGGTTTAAACACAGAAGACAACATTCTTTGATGGTTACGAGGGTGGAGAGGGATGGTGAGGGTTGTTTACTAACTAGGTAGTAGACAGGAATTCTCTTGGGTGAAGGGGAGGACAGCACACACTACAGGGGGAAGTCAGCACAACTGGACTAAACCAAAGCTCAGAAGTTTCCTGAATACAATCAAACACTTTGAGGGACAGAGTATCAGGGGTAGGGGTCTGGTAACCATGTTTTCAGGGGACATCTAGGTCAACTGGCATAACAAAGCTTATTAAGAAAATGTTCTGCATCCTACTTTGGTGAGTGGTGCCTGGGGTCTTAAAAGCTTGCAAGTGGCTTGCAATTGGTCCCAACCACCTGGAGTAAAGGAGAATGAAGAACCCCAAAGACACAAGGAAAGTATTAGCCCAACAGACAGAAAGGGCCACATAAGCCAGAGACTTCATCAGCCCAAGACCAGAAGAACTAGCTGGTGACCGGCTACCACCAATGACTGCCCTGACAGGGAACACAAGAGACAGTCCTTGATGGAGCAGGAGAAAGGTGAGGTGCAGAACTGGAATTCTAGTAAGACCACCAGACTTTAATAAGACTCAAGGAACCCTGGAAAGCATGGCCCCAGGATTCTCTATCAGCCCAGAACTAAAACAATTTGTGAGGCCAACTCTTCAGACAGGGATTGGACTGGACTGTGCGACATAAGCGATGTTCGTGAGGAGCATGCCTCTTAGCTCAAGTAGATACAAGAGACTGTCCCAACCATATGGAGTAAAGGAGAATGAAGAACCCCAAAGACACAAGGAAAGCATCAGCCCAAGAGACAGAAAGGGCCACATAAACCAGAGACTCCATCAGCCTGAGACCAGAAGAACTAGATGGTACCCAGCTACCACCTATGACCCCCCTGACAGGGAACACAACAGAGTCCCTGGTGGAGCAGGAGAAAGGTAGGTGCAGAACTCATATTCTAATAAAAATACCAGACTAAATGGTCTGACTGAGACCAGAGGAACACTGGAAAGCATTGCCCTTGGAATCTCTGTCAACCCAGAACTAAAACAATTCCCGAGGCCAAATCTTCAGACAAAGATTGGACTGGACTGTGGGACATAAAATGATACTCGTTAAGAGTGTGCTTCTTAGCTTAAGTAGATCCATGAAACTAAATGGGCAGCTTCTGTCCAGAGGTGAGCTGAGAAGGCAGAGAGGGTTAGGAGCTGGTTGAATGGGCATGGGACATCAGGGGTGGAAAGGAGGAGTGTGCTGTCACAGTGTAGAGAGCAATTGTGGTCAAATGAGAATGTATGTATAAATTTTTGTATAAGAAACTAACTTGAAATGTAAACTTCCACTTAAACTACAATAAACCAAATAAAAAATTCCCAAATAAAATACAGCCTTCCTTCAAAAATCTCCACTCAGAAAGCAATCATGTGTATAATGGAAAAAACAGCACTAATTCTTGCCGCCCTCTCCCTACCTATACGTACATGTGAGTGTTATAATTTGTCTTGTATCTTGAACTAGGAAGGATACAATAGGTATCCACCTCAGCCTAGTTTAGCATTCCAATAAATACTCGCTGGCAACGGAGGAGTTGCACATACCAATCTTTTCTAAACGGCAGATCTGAGAAAGAGGTTCAATTCTCGTTTCAAAGGTAAATGAACAAAATAATGAAAAAATCCTCATTTTTGTCTGATGTGAAACCCTCATTTTGCATAGATATCACTACCCTCTAAATAGGCTGGGAAAAACATAATAGAATAAGAAAACATAAGAATTCTGTAAAGAAATAAATGATCCTGCAAAAGGGGAACAGAAATTTAATCTAAAACTGCAGACAGAGAATATCCCTAAGAAATATCTGACTGTCAAAACAGAAGGAATATTTAGAAAAACTGCTGTAAACTATACACAGTATGTAGAAAAGAATGCCATTTATTGAATGAGAGACAAAAGGTATAATGACAAAACAATCCCATATGGCAAAAATGGAGGATGTCTGAGAAAAGAAGGTGCATGTGGAAAATAAAATGCAGTAGTGGAATTTCTATCAACAATGGAATCCACGGAGAAGAGAACTCACACTGAAGTGTTCAAGCAGTAACTGAATCAAAGCCAGGCAGATGAGAATGAGCAAAAAATAACAACAAAGATGGGAGGTGGATAGACTGGAGCTTTGGCTCAGGAATAATTTGTGTACCTGAGAAGGAAACAAGAGCAACTAGATCTGAATCAGTAATCCACGCTATAAATGAAGACTGCATTGCTGAGAAAGTATATGAGAATGAAGAATAAAATGTCTCACTAGCTTCAGGGCATGGTGACATCAAGGAGTTACCTGTATTATACAAAAACTAGCTAAATTCCTAAATTTTAACAGTAACAAAACTGTCATACCTATATTCAGGCAGAAAATAATCAGTTCCTTAAAAATTAAAAAAAAAGTTTTTTAAATGCACAAGTCCAGACTACACCTGCCAGAGTCAGTTATTACAGCTCCTTAAAGATTAATTTTCTGAAGCTGTCATATTGCCAGGTTTCTTAATCCAGGTTAATAAAATTTATTAATCAATTCTGAAACTTTCAACTTTGTATCTACCTTAGATTATCAAAAAAATTAGATCTACCTGCAACATCCATTACCGGAGTGACAGCCTAAGAAGGTACCCATTCTTTTCACTTCTTGATGCTTCCCTCCAAAACTACATGCTTGGTAGCCTTCCCACATACAGCGCAAATCAATATGGTTGTTGTAATCTATAAACTATATACTGCTATAAAAAATAAGGCATTACGCACACTTTTATTTAATTACACATTTATGGCTACATCTTGCCAAGCAAACTGGGGGTAAAAAAGAAACAGCATTTGTCATGGATTGAACTGTGTCCCCCCAAAATATGTGTCAACTTGGCTAGGCCATGATTCCCAGTACTATGTGACTGTCCACCATTTTGTCATCCGATGTGATTTTCCTGTGTTGTAAATCCTGTATCTATGATGTTAATGAAACAGTATCAGCAATAGTTATGTTAATGAGGCAGGACTCAACCTACATGATTAGGCTATGTCTTAAGTCAATCTCTTTTTGAGATATAAGAGAGACCATCAAGCAAGAAGAGCTAGGAGCTTGTGTCCTTTGGACCTGGGGTCCCTACGCAAGAAGCTCCTAGACCAGGGGAAGATTGATGACAAGGACCTTCCTTCGGGGCTGACAGAAGTCTTAACCCTGGAGCTGGCACCCTGAATTTGGACTTCTAGCCTGTTAGACTGAGAAAGAATACATTTTTCTTTGTTAAAGCGATCCACTTGTGGTATTTCTGTTACAGCAACACTAGAGAACTAAAACAGCATTAAAACACTTTTTTTTAATTAAGTGATTTCAGGTCCCCACTGCAAATTGTTTATGCTTGACTGCTAAGCTACAGGTTGGTAGTTTAAATCCACACAGCGGTACTGTGGAAGAAGAGGCCTGGCAATCTGCTTCTGTTAAGATTACAGCCAAGAAAATCCTATGGAGCAGTACTAGTCTGTAACGTATGGGTTTGCCATGAGTCAGAATCAACTCAGCAGCAAACAACAACAAGGCTTCTGATGAAGACTGTCAAAAATAAATTTCATTCAGTTACAAAGTACACACTATTACTTACTCGCCAACTGATAGCAAGTTCTGTTTCTCATCCTTTTTTATTCGTGGGCGCCCTGGCTTCATCTTCAAAGGTGAAGTTGGAGTCTTCTGAGCAGCAGGCTGAATGAAATGCGCAAACAGCTCTGTCTGCTTTAATAAATACTCAAATCTATTTGCTCTGTCAGTTTGCTGCAAAAAAATTTTAAGACATATTTTATCAGAATATCAATAAAACTTCAGGAATCAAAGTTTCAAGTACCTCCACACAATGAACTCAGCAATAAAAAGAGAACAAATTACTGATAATGGCTGACTCTCAAAAGCATGATGCTAAATGAAAAAAGCCAAACACAAAAGACTACATGCTATATATGACTACATACTATATTCTGAAAAATGGCAAAATGAGTGATAGAAAGCAAATCAGAGGTGGTGGGAGGAGGGAACTGAATGTAAAGGGGCAGAGGCAAATTTTTTTGGTTTGACAAAACTGTTTTACATCATAATCGTGGTGGTAGTTTAATAACTGTATATATTTGTCAAAATTCATTGAATTCCAGACTTAAAACTACTGTATGTAAACTGTACTTCAATATAGTTGACAAAAAAAAAAAACAACTAAAAAATTAGAAGATGGTGCCCAATACAAGTAAATTTATTCGTAAGTGGGACAAAATGCATTGATCTTTCTCATCAGTTAGGCTGTCTCAACTTTTAAAAAGGTATCACACTTGAAAAAAATCTTCTAGTTCAGGAAATATTCATTAGCCCAATGGTGTTCTTTATACTATCCCTTCCTTCCATATCTGCCATCTGGTACCCTTTTGGATATTCTCTATTATTATACCAAGAGAATACAAGAATTTATTTGAACCAGAAATTTTAAGATCCTTGAACACAAGTTCTCATAAAATAATAAGATCTAGAGTCTCATTTACACAATATACTTTTTACAGACACACTAATTAAAGGAGAAACAGGAAGACTTCAATAAACATAAAAACCAGTTATTTAAAAATTTTTTGCCTATAAATACTTGAAATGTCAGTTTTTGAATTATGAAAAGATATTTTACCTAGCAAACATCAAAGCTATCCAAACACCATAATCTGTACAAGTTATGTATTTTTTAGAAAGAGAACATCATTTTTAAAAATAGCACCATTGTAAAAACTGAAGACCAATGTGCTAACCAGAAGGCACATGGTGAGAGTGTTTCATTGGGTCACAAATGACAGTTGTCAAAGCAGTCCAATCTAATCTACACAAGAACAGAGTGTTCAGATCCAGATAATGGATTAACATGTTTCTCTCTGATAATATCCTATAGATGACAAGCCTCAGACGTTTTTGTTTTTCAAAATTACAAACTGTTTAAAACTGAACTGATATGTATGTGTATTTTGCACGATTACATTTCTTAACTCACATATAATGAAAGAAAAGCCAAAAACATGCAACCAGAAGAAGTTGGGGGTAAAACAAAATTTCTATTCAATTATGATAACCATGCTTGGAATTATGATAAGCAAGCTTTGGAAATTAATTTAGATATCAGGCCCTGAGACATTTAATGTCAAAATTCTTCTATAATATTCAAAATCACTGAATATGCACTTTTTTCAAAATACTTTCAAATCAACATTATCTTCTTAAACAGTTCAATTAAAAAAATACTTTCGTGTCTACTAGAAGGGGAGTCCTTTGTTTCCTTATGAAGTTTTCATCATAACCCAATACTGAAAATAAACACAATAGGTAAGTTATACAAATGTTAGAAGGAGATAGGTTCTCAGAAGTAAAATAAAGCAGGGTAGAGAAGATGGGGAGAAGGACTGGTACTGAAACTTTAACTAAGATGGTCAGAATAACCCTAACTGAGGTGATCATTCAGCACAGACTGGAGCATGTATGTGTCTGTGGGAAGAGAACCCCTAACTCTTAGATCTTATCACACTTTTCTAATGCTCAAAAAAACCTTTAAATGGCTCCAGATGTCTTAAGACAATATTTTTCAAAGTGTGGTTCACAACCCATCAGATCAAAATTATCTGAGATCCTTGTAATTTTCTACATTGTCAAGTCTGAGAACTACAGCCTTAAGCATTTAAGTATAAACTTCACCAGGGCTCTACACAGAATACTCCAATGATTTCAAGATGCTCTACTACTCCATCTCTCCCCCTTCAATTTAGAGAGGGAGAAAAATTAAGTAGTCACAGAATTACAAAGCAGTTACAAAGAACTAAAGAATTCAAAACAATGAATACAGAATAAGTTTCCAGTGGAATTTGTGGTATAGGTTAGGGAGAAAAACAGGCAAATACCTTTGTACTTGAAGGAATGGAAAGGTTAAAATGGAAATGACTAGAGATCTTAAAAGGCTAAAGAGAAGAGGTCAAAGGAGGGAAACTAACAGATTCTAAAAAGGAGAAAACAGTGGAGTAAGGCCAGGAATCAATTATAAAAGCAAATAGATTAAAATGAATGGCCTCTTTCTCAGAGACAGGAGAAAATAAAGTAAGACAGCAGGAGCTGTAAGTATGTTTAAAAATAGAGAAAATAAATTAAAGATAAACCTGTAATTCTTTGTGGAAGAAGAGTAAAGATGATGGTATGGCAGAAGTAGAGTAGGAAGCCTGATGAGAATGGTAAAGTTTAGAATGACTAAATAGGACTGATGAACAATAAATACTGAAAGTCCAACAGAGTAAAAACCATAAATTTATGCTGGCACCAATCAGTAGTAGTATTTAGTTTTCACCAGTAATGCTCAGCATCCTGGGTTCAGAAATGAAGAGTAGTAGCAAGACTTGCCTATGATTAGGGAGCAGCAGATGACAAGGGTGCCTGTTTAGAAGAAAATTGTTCAAGTAAAGCTCATGTCAAAAAAAGGAAATGAAATTAGGACTGAAAAACTTGGGAGAAACAAGAAGAGATCTGCACTAAAGGCCACCAGGAAGATGAAAAGCATTGTGGAGAATCACTGAAAACCTCCATTATATAATCAGATTTGTGTCATAAAGATTACTTTGCAAAAACATGAAGAGATTGGATGAGGCCAGATCATAAAAAGGAAAGCAAATAAAGAAGCCAACAAAATAATTCAAGCAATAATACAGGAATGCTAAACTAGGGAATGCTGAAAACGATCAGAAATATTTATGAGCTAAAACTAGGAAGACTATTATTTAAAGTATGAGGTATTGTCATCAGCAGCTTGGTATATATTAAGAGAGCCTTTCATTCAATGAGATAACACTAAGCAGGTTTGTGGGTAAAGATAATGAATTCAGTTTGGGATATTTCCAAATCACAGTTAACAATGAGATTTAGAAGTAGATGTCCAGCAAGCAAATGAAAATAATGGTTGGAGGGATCTGGGCTGGAGATAAAGATATGGAAGTAATCAGTTCAGAGATGACAGCTGAAAACCAACGATAAGGCTCAAAATGCCCAAGGAGAAAATGTTCAGAATTTAACAAAGGACAAAGAAAGAGAGAAATAAACTGGATCTATCATAAGGAAAAAAAAGGTCTCTCAAGGCAGTATTTTTTTTTTTCCCAAGTAAAAGATTTTTGAGGGGTCAACAATGTCAAACGTAAGTGAGATCATGAAGAACAAAACTAAAAATATACCACAAAATTAGCAATTAGAAATTCACTAATACAGTGTTAGTGGCAGAAGCTAAATTGTAAAGGGCTAAAGGAGTCAGTGGGAAAACTAGAGATGGCAAATATATTTCTTCAAATAAGTATGGCAGTGAAAAAAGGAAATAGGATAATTACATACACACATTATATAATATTAAATCATTAATATCATTTATAATTTGCACATTGTTAATATTATACATATATCATGCATATACACATGCACACATACGTTGTTACATACAAATACATACATAATTTCAGGATTTTTAATTAAACGATTTAAAAGATTCAAAAACATTTACTGATATCAAAGGGAAAGTCAATGGAAAAAGAGAAAATACATTTCAAAAAATATTGTTAAGATCCATTACGTGCCAGATATTTTCCTGGGTGAATACAGGAAGATTAAAACACTATTCCTACCCTTTAGGAGCACACTGTGTGATGTGTTATTACTTAATTTACACATTGTTATTTTAACTTTTCGGATTTTCTATCCAATTAAATGAGTTTAATCCACAAAAAAGCACTTTGAACAGTGCCTGCTGCATATCAGCATTCACTGTTAGCCATCTTTATTATTAAATCTAAATTTGAATTTAATGGTCTTCTTGGTACTGGTTAAGCCAGGTTTCCTGGAACTATGGGCTATGAGCTGGGACTTTAGGATTCAAGTATCTTCTCTTTTGGTGTAAGAATGCTGTGGACAAGGACCATGTATCTCTTTATAACCTCTAGAGTACAATGCTAGACAGATGCAGAAAAAGCATATGCTCAATAACTATTTTCTGTGGAATTTAACTCACCACCCTCCAGATGTTAAAATCTTAAATGCAGTACTAATATAATCTAAATAACTGTGTAACATTTTAATTCACGTAATACTTCTATTTGTTTTATATAGGTAAATACGACTATTACAAAAGTCATAATACCTCCTATTACACATATTTAATTTTAATCAATACCCTAGTTAAAAAAAATTAAACATAAAACATTCAGTATATTTAATCACCCAATAAAAAGTTTCCATTATAGACTCTATCCATGTGCCTAGAACATACCATTTTTTCTTCGTAAGTAGGATCTGGTTCTTGGATTTCTTTCTGCTTTCCTGGTGACGCATCATCAAATACTTCCTGGGAAGGAGGAAATACATGGAACAGTCAAGAATAGTCAACACCATTTTAGACTAATTATTGTTCAAATTACATTCCAAATAATAAACTTCTCCCCTAAACTTTCTAATACTTAAATGGTTGTCACCTAACCTCATAGGAAATCTAGATGAAATTAAATACCATGGGGATAACAAGCTATACAACTCATATGAAAACCATATGGCCATTACCAAGAATAAAACATGAGATTACCACCTACATCATTCTAGAATAAAATTGCCTTCAGTAAAAGACATATCGGTAACTGTTTCTCTTATTCTAATCAATAATAACTGTGGAAAAAGTAAAAGGTATCAAATGTGGGGGGAAAAAAACCTATTCCCTTTTTCTCATAAGAATTGTAGTAGCTGCTCTGTGGACTACACAAATGTACATCTAGAGAGTAGCATTATTAGTCACTCTGATTTTCATCTTCTGAAGTATTACAGAACATTATCACAGAAGTCTAAATTGAATATTCTTTAACTACATTTGATTCCTAAATGAGTAATAAATGTGCTGTTCATGCAAATTTACTCACCCTGACATATGAAATGCCACAAACAACAAAAATCAGTAACAACTTCTACACTGCAAAGTTCTACTCATCTACTAAAAAAACTACCTAAGACCAGGTGGTAAAGGCTTAATTTTAATTAATGATGTACAAATCTGTGCTTGGTAATACGTGCTATAATAAACCTAATGTATAATAAAAAGATGAGAGGGAGAAGCTGGTATAGGTGTTAATAGGTACAAAAACAAGGGGTCAAATGACCTAAATTCAAATCTAACTTCATTGCTAAGACCCTTAGGCACCTGTATAACATTATGCTTATCACGAATCTCTAGTCGCAACATATAAAAAAGGGAAAGCCCCATACCTAGTCTACTTACAAAATGTTGCTGGAATATCATAAAGAGTCAAATATGCCCTAGAAAAATAAAATTGCTTTTCCAACAGTAGTCATTATCTCTTTCACAGTAAAAACATTTGTACTACAGGAAGCTTGAGGCATATACTGTGCCTATTTATCATGGGTCAAGAGTGAGAGATGAAGGTGTGCAAAGAAAGGCTCCACATTATCAAAAGGATAATAAACAAAAAATGGGATTGCTCCCTTGACTTCTCAAGCAAAAAGAAAAGATTAACTGAATACATAGGAAGACCAGCTAATACTTCCAGAAAGGTCAGCTTTGTCAAATAAAATTAGTGAAGACACAACTTCATACTTCCTGATTTTGGAAAAAAATCTACCTTACATTCTACTTTCAAAGAAGAAAAAAGGCATTTTAAACTATTTTTTTTCAACTTTGAAATAGGTCAAGATTGTCAGATATATAATGCCTGTGTACCCAAACCCAGTCTTTATCAGTGAACTTCTCTGACTTCTAAATTCTGACTAAAAAAAAAAAAAAAGGACCAAGGGAACATATATTTTAAAATATATCACTGTAACGTGAAGGAAAAAAAATCAAAACTAGTCAGTGAAAAGGTGTACTGATAAAAGATAAAATTACTGATATTCCTATATTAAACCCATTGCTGTTGAGTCCATTCTGACCCATAGCGACCCTAGAGGACAGAATAAAACTGCCCCATAGAGTTTGCAACAAGTAGCTGATGGATTTGAACTGCCCATCTTTTGGTTAGTAGCCATAGAAATAACTTACTAGGTCATTCTTCAATGAACAAAATTGCCCATATCTCTGTAAAAACATGACACAGCAAGATGTGTGGGAAAAGGGTCAGTTCTGGAACAAGACCTGGGTTCTATTACAGATTCTACTTACCAAAAGACTCAATTTCCTCATATGACAAATGAAAATTACCACTAACTTCCTATGGGAGTAGTTGTTATCATCACACTGACATTCATTTTTTAAATTTAATTCAATTTTAATTTAAAAATAGCAATTCAAAACCAAAATATTTAGTTCAGGCTTTAAATTACTCAGCTTTTTAATATTTAAATAAGACCTCTGGGAAAACATCTACTTGTTATTCCAAAGGTTGAATGGCAGAGCCTTTTGAGAAGTTGATGAACACTATGAACATCTCTCTGCAGAACTGTGCATTCACACACAATTTTGTTTTCAATTTCACTGTTTTTTAAAACCCCTGAAGCCATGAAGCAGGAATCCAAGTTAAACACACCTGGTAATCAAAAAAAAAACATTTAAAAACCTTAAAAGGAAAAGGCGGGTGGGGGAAGCAACACTAGATACATCTTAATTTGAAACAAACTTCAATCACTGGAAACTACAGAATATCGGATTTCCTCTTCAACTAAAACCTACCCTCACCACTAAAAGTTCTTGCAAAGACTAATAATGTAATGTTAATTTCTTTACCCTAGATTAGCTGTTTGATGCTCAAATAAAACTACTACAGCAAACGCCTTTCTAGTAAACTGCGCTACTGTTTCCTGATAATATTAATTCTGCATCAGGGTACCATTTTAGAGAAATATTACCTTCATCCCGCCTAAGGATGGTAAAATCCCGAAATCCTCGTGCTGCGACTCTAAAATATCTCAAAACAGGTCGAAGGCCAAGAATAAAAATTGAAGAAGCAATCACTTTCTTCCCAGATATCGCAAAGCCTTGCTGCATACCCAACAGACCGGGCCTGGCAGTTCCCTATCTTTCCACCCCCGCAGTACAGTCACCGTCCCCCTGGCCCACAAGATCTGGCAGTACGTATTAAAAAATAGATAGCGGTATCTAAAAGGAAGGGGTCAAGGCCCAAAAAGAGGAGTTGCGCTGGACTGAAAGCCAACCAACCACCCCATATTCACTAATTCATTCATCCACCCATCCATTCCCGCAAAATTAAATGGGGGTCTAGGACAGTTGCTGCTGCCTTGGCCGCTACCCTCCCAGTGGAACAGTGCCTGGGAGGGGCCTCTTCTCCCTCCAGGAGAGCAGCTGCGCCCCGCTTATCCCGACAGCGCACTCGGCCATCCAGCTCTCGCCATTGTTTCTGCCCAGAACAGATACCGCCCCCGAAAGGACCAGGAAAAAGAAAAGGAGGCCCAAGTCCTCGGATGCGCTGCCTCCCTCTCCCAAAAGTCCATCTCTCACTCCTAAGCGGCACATCCCTCGCCCCTCCCCCAAGTTCAGTAGAAACTAAAAACTAGATTCGCACAAATTGGAGAGGGAATTATGGGAATCCAGTGAAAAGCAACGGGTAGCTCCCACTCAGCCACAATAATCAAAAACATCTGTTTAATAAGAGCGATCGAGGATTTGGCAAGATTTGTTAAAGCAGCGGATAATTTTAGAGGCAAACTGTCCGGAATCCATTTGAGTCTAGATACGATAAGCATGATGGCACAAAGATGGGCGCATCGTTTGAATCCAAAGGGCCCGAGACCGAGTTTGCTGCAGAGGAGTGAAGCAGGGCTTTGCGTCTGATCTCTAAAGTCAGGACGAGGGAACCAGCTTCTCCTTTCCCCGCGCCACACGCCGCCCTCAGGTCCCTCACCTCCATCTCGGCGTCCGCGGGGCCGGCGCTGACTGCAGAGGGAGCCGCCAGGGACACGACGCCCTCTGGTCCGCCTTTGTTGCTGTAGTTACTCCCACCGCTGGCGGCGGAGGCTGCGGGTTTGGAAGGCGCGCTCTCGGCAGGCGGGGGTGGCGGAGGCTCGGCCGCGGACGACATTGTGTTCCGGCTGCGTCAGCCGCTGCTGCCAGGGGCTGGGTCCGGCAGGGACGGAGGAAGAGGCTTAAGCCTGGGTAATGAGCTGATGGAGGGGCAAGAGGACTCCCCGAGTTCTCCCCCGCGCCGCGGCTCCGTGACGGGCCTGAGCGGGACCCAGCACACTCCTCCTGGTCGTCAGTCTCCTCCTCCGCGGAGCTCCGGGTTCGACCCGCTGCTTACCTCACGGCGGGAATCACGTCGAGGAGAGTGGGCGGGGCCAGCCAGGTCACCGAGGTCAGGGGAAGCAGGCTGATTTACAGGGGGGCGGAGGGTAAGGGGGAGGGAAAGGAAAGCGAAAGAGAGACTGAAGTCTGGACGTAACTTCACCTCCTCTTCTTCCACCGGCAGATATCATCTATCTCGCCAGCAACCAGGACAACTACCTACGCCACCGACTCCCAACTCTCGCGAGATTGCGGGTTGGCTGCCTGGAACCGGAGGGCGCATGCGCATTCGGCTCTACTCACCCTTGCCTCCCACTTCTCCCGGGCGTCTAGCGGGCTCTGGAGCAAGGAGTGGGTGGGGCCTCGGAAGACCTGCGCTGCCGGGAGATATACGAGCCATACGTAGGTTTTTCCTTCGCTCCTTGGCTTGACGTGAGTGCTGTCTTATGCGCGTTGATAACGGCTCCCCGGCCTTGACTCTCTTATCTTCTTGGCTTCGCAAAGGTCAGCTGCATTTCCTGAAAACTTGCTCAGATTTTGCGCGGCGAACTGAAACATGGAGGGCTATGCTGGGCCTTAATTCTTGTGCCGCTTGTACTTACTGAAGTGACGCCACAACGTTGACGTAACGTCGTTGGTTATCCGTAGTGACGTCTTATTTTGTTGTCTCCGGCAAAATGCCCCTTATTGTGATTTTTATAGTGAATTTTCATTTATTAGATAGATCAATAATTTGTAAATACCCTTCCTTTCAATGCAGAGTTATACTAATTTCTGTGCTAACAGCAAATTGGCGCGCACACTACTGTGTTAAGTGAGAACCATGGTTAATCAATAGGAAAAGAGGTATGGCTTGAATCTTTCCCTCAACCACAAGCATTAAATTAGAATGTGCTTTTCTCCTTAAAAATACGTGTTAGCTAAAAAATCAGAACTATTTTTTTTTTTTTTTTGTAGACTGCCTTAGGCTCTCTGCAACAACCTAAACTCTTTGTGCATTCATCTATTATAGAATTGAAACACATTGTATTCTATTTGATAGCAAATCTGCATTCTACATTTAGTTCTTATCTGCCCTACGCAGGATGTTACTCATTTTTGTATTCCCATGTACCATATTCAGTAAATGTTTATCCATTCAAAAGTTAAGGTTGATGGCCTCTTGCAAGCTTTTAAGACCCCAGGAACTACACAATGAGCTAGGAAGTAGAAGAGAAGCACTAAACGTCCTATTAGGCCAATTAACTGAAATGTCCCATGAAACCATCACTCTAAACCTCCAAACCAAAGAACCAAATCCCATGAGGTGTTTGGATGTACATAAACAGCCTCAGCAGGTACTCTTTTTTTGTGTGCGTCATTCTTGTAAATGTGTCTATCACACGACTTTTTCCAGTTCAATTTTTTACAGATGTACAACTTACAGCACTTAAAACAATTGGCTGTGCAACTCTACTGTTGGTACAATTTTTCATCGCGGTTAACCCCTCTCCTTTTCTTCCTCCCTCCTGCCCCTGGTAAGCAACTAATAAACTATGATCTCTATACATTTGCTTTTTCTTGCCTTTTTATGTAAGTGAGGTCATACAGTATTTGTTCTTTAGCGATTGACTTGTTTCACTCAGTATGTCTTCAAGCTCCAATCATATTGTAGCATGTATCACGACTTCATTTCTTTTACTGGCTGAGTAGTATTCCATTGTATGTATGTACTGCATTTGGTTATCCATTCATTTATTGATGGGCATTTAGGTTTTTTCCACCTTTTGGCTATTGTGAATACTGCTGCAATGAACATTGGTGTATGATTCTCTGAGTCTCTACTTTCAAGTCTTTTGAATACATACCTAGGAGTGGAATTGCTGGGTCATATGGTAGTTCTATTTTTAGTTTTTTGAGGAAACACCACACTGTTTCCCACAACAGCTATCCCATTTTCCCACATCTTTGGCATCATTTGTTATTTTCTGTTTTGTTTTCTTTATCATAGCCATTCTAGTTGGAGTGAAACGGTATCTCACTGTAGTTTTGATTTACATCTATCTGTGTTCTATTTGGAGCCCTGGTGGCACAGTGGTTAAGAGCTACAGCTGATAACCAAAAGGTCAGCAAATTCACTAGCCATTCGTTGGCAACACTATGAGGCAGTTCTGCTCTGTCCTGTAGGGTTGCAATAAGCCAGAATCAACTCGTTGGCAACGGGTTCGGTTTCGGGTTTTTATGTTCTATTTGCCTGGAGCAACAAATGAAGAAGGAGAGTCAGGAATAGGAGGAGCAAATGGAATGTGTGGCTAGTTGCTTCATGAACAACTGCCTCCTTTGCTATGAGACCAGAAGAACTGGATGGTGCCCAGCTGCCATTACTGAACATTTTGATCAAAGATCAAAAAGAAGAATCGTGATCAAAAGGGGAGAAATGCAGAACAGAATTTCAAATTCTCATGGACTCCAGACTTTCTGGAGCCATGGAGGCTGGATGAATGTCCAAACTATTGCCTTGAGATAATCTTTAAATCTTAAGCTGAAAATATCCCTTGAAGTCTTCTTAAAACCAAAAAAAGAGTTTGACTTAACTGGTGAAAAAAAGTCTGCTTGCAGCATTATGCCCTTTTAAGAACTGTCTATATGGGATCGAATTGACAACAGCAACTCAAAGGACCCTATATATAGGAGCATTAGAAGACCGTGAGTTTATATTAATAGGGGAGGAACAACTCAGAAAAAGAGGGCAAAATAAAATTTTAAAAAGAGTTAAGGTTGAGCCAAGTTGTTGATTACGTAGAATTTCAAACAGAAGCGATGTCCTTTGACTATATATCGTGCAAACTTTTTAACTAATCAAATGATAATACTTTAATTGAGGTCTGGAAAAATGTCTCCAGCCCATCATAAATGCCATTTCTGAGTCTGTAAAGAGACATCTAAGAATATATGCTTGTTGATATTTTCTAGTTTTTTGAAAAATAAGTGTTATTGTATTGAGAAAACTCACTTTTAATTTTAAACAGTGTTTCTTCCCCCAAAAAAGATTGTGAGAAGGGGTAAGTAGGTAGTGTCTAGGGAGATACTTAATATAAAGACATTCAAAAAATATTTACTGAGTAAATATTTCTTTAATATTTGCATTCTTAAGTAGAAAAAGTATTTAGTAGAAATAATATTTTATATTCAGAATATTCATTCAGTCGTTACAGTCCTAGGTGAAAATCTTAGGTTCTCGTTTGGAAACCCTAAAATTATTCTTAAGTTTATAAGTAGAAGGTTCTTAAGTCTGACAACTGTTCAAGGAGAGCAACAAATAGTAAGGAGCACAATAAATAAAATTGCTCCCCAAAGTGGCAATTGTCTTTCAACATTACATTTATTCCATGAGTTTCTAATATGAGCATATGAAAGCTGCATAAGAATCTTTTTGGAGAAAATTCTAGAGAATACCAATTTTTTTTCACAAATAGTACATCCACGTAAATAGTGTGCGCACATATATAACATGCAAAAATGATGAAATTATATTTAAAAGTTTTGGCTTAGCATGCCCATGTATATATCATGCATGTCTCGTGACATTTCCAGAAGTGAATTTTTACCTTATTCACCCTCATTCAGTAGTCTGAAAATGTTACTCTTGATCATATTTGTATAATAAAAGTATGAGCCATGATCAAGAAGTCATGGATTGAGTTTAGTAGTACCCTGGTGTCATAGATTGAATTGTGTCCCCCAGAAATATCTGTCAACTTGGCTAGGTCATGATTCCTAGTATTGTATGATTGTCTACCATTTTATCATCTGATGTGATTTCCCTATGTGTTGTAAATCCTCTCACTATCATGAAATGAACTGGATTAGTGGCAGTTATATTGATGAGATATAAAAGAGAGAAGCGAGCAGAGAGACAGGGGGACCTCATACCACCAAGAAAGCAGTGCCAGGAGCAGAACACGTCCTTTGGACCTGAGGTTCCTGCACTGAGATGCTCCCAGACTAAGGGAACACTGATGCGTCACAGGGACCTTCCTCCAGAGCTGACAGAGAGAGAAAGCCTTCACCTGGGGCCAGTGCCCTGAATTCAGACTTCTAACCTACTGGACTATGAGAGAATAAACTTCTCTTTGTTAAAGCCATCTACGTGTGGTATTTCTGTTATAGCAGCACTAGATGACCGAGATACCCGGTAATTGGAAAATAACCAATTAAAACTGTGTATTTGTTTATGTTAAGTTGATAATTATATTCCCATTGCTTTTGAGTCATCAATCCAAACCTTGAACCTACTGAAGCCTATCCATAAATCACATGCAGTCAATTGGAGGAGCCCTGGTGGTGCAGTGGTTACTAACTATGGCTGCTAAGCAAACAGTTGGCAGTTCGAATCCACCAGCCGCTCCTTAACTGTATGTCCAAGGTTGTAAATCTTTACAGAAACAGACTGCCACATCTTTCTCCCATGGAGCTGCTTGGTGGTTTCAAACCACCGACCTTTTGGTTAGCAGTTGAGCACTTTAACCACTACCCATAGTCTTATTAACACCAATGTCTTTGA